GGCAGAGATGTCAGCCCAAACCTGCAGGAACTGTGCTCTGAGTCCACCCTCGCCCTGGGACCACGCTCCCTCTGGGCACACCGTGGGGTCCCTACTGCACATGGTGGCCCAGGGACTCTCACCTGTCTTGCTGGCAGGTCTCTGTGGGATGGGGGGCAGACCCCCTCCAGGCCAGCTTGCCCTGCTGGAAAACAGGAGAGGGGTTACTGTAGCTGTGACTGGGCTTTTATCCTGTTCTCTCTGGTTTGAGGGGCTGGAAGCTGCATGTGCCCATTTCTCAGCCTGGGCTTGTCCCCTGGGATGTCCAACAAGTGGTGTGCCTGTTCTCTTCTACCTGTTGAGGCTGCATCTCCTGGGGATACTTCTCCTCCCCCAGCCTGATCCCTTCCAATATCTCCCACCCTGTATCCCACTTAAGCCAGCCAGAGGTCCTGGCCAGCAGTATTCCATGCTGGAAACCCGTACCCCTGCTGCTCTCATAATCCCTCCCCAAACTAGGGTGGGTTCCAGCTTCCCCATAGAACATATCTCCCCCCTAACCTCCACTGAGAAAGGCATGAGGAGGGCAATGCTCCCTAAGGATGAGGTTCTGGGGGCAGTTAGCCCTTGAATCTGTCTTTCCTGAGGGAAAGCTTCTGCTTACTTAGGCTTCCTGTCCAGCTGCGTCAGCTCCTGTGGGGATGGATCCTGAGTGAAAGCCTGGCCCCGGGGACATTTTTCTTGTCCTGAGTTCCCCACAGGTTCCAGTGGTGACTTGAGCCCCTCGTAGATGACATTGGACACCATCTCCATCCTGCCCTGTCCCACGCCTGGCACTGAGGGCGGTCTGCCTGTTGCTCCCACAGCACTGAGCTCGGCCACTGGGGTCCTGTGTTTGAGCCGTGGTGGCACAGATGGGACACACAGGCAGGGCTTCTCTGGTGTCTCCTGTGTCTCTCCATGGTCTGGGACTGTGGGGAGTCGTGTGTCCTCCCCTGCACCCAGCCGGGATGTTCCTGTGCCCATGGTTGTCCCCGGACTCTCCAGATCCGTGGAGCTCTCCCCTGGCACAAAGCCCTCCAGCACCACAAAGGCTCCAGCTGTCCTCTCCCTGTCCGGGCTGTGTGCTGGTGGTGTGGCTGCTGAGCTCTGCTCCAACTTGGGGCGATAGAAAACCGTCCTCGGCTTGGGAATCGGCCTCACCAGTGGAGGATCCAGGTCCTTTTGTGGGGGCATTGCTTGACTGGGCATTGCACCGCATTGCTGCATCCCAAAGGCATCAGTGGCCGCTCCTGGTTCTGCTTTTGTAGCATCCTCACCCATCTGGGGGGCTCGGGGTTGGGGGTACCCAAGCAGTCGTGTCTTCTCTGCCAAGTTCAGGATCCTCTTGCGGTGCCCGGTGGCGGTGATGCCAAGCTGCTGCAATTGCTTATTGTCCAGTGCAGAGACATCTCGGGCCAGGTGGAATCCATGCTGCTTGAAAAGGTCCCGGTATCTCTCCAGGTGGATGGTGGCCAGCCAGTCTGCAATGTCTGTGTCAGGAGTACACGGTGAGCTCATGGCCCTGTGGTGCCTCTGTAACGGTGCTCAGCCCATCATCTGGTGAAGGAGGGGAGGGAAGAACTGAAGAGGCAGTAGGAGGGAATTTGCGGACTTGGCCACACGCAGGATCCCCCCCACCTCACTTCCCTCCCCTCAGCCTCTTACCTTCAGCACCCCAAGCCAGGACTGCATCCTGTTACTTCCCAGCCACAAGCCTCTTCTCCACCCCTCCCTGGAGCTCCTCATCCCGCTTTGCCAGCATGCAAACGATACCAAGGCTGGGGGCTGCTCTGAGTGCAGGGACAGGATGGAGGGGGCTGCTGATGGCGGCTGGGGGGCAGCAGCTGGGCCCCTCCCAGGGGACGAGCTCTGGTGCTGGCCGCCTCGGGGAGGGCTCTGCTGCCGGAAGGGCCAGACCATAATCTGCCGGCGAGGGCATGAGAGAGGTCAGCATGACTCATAGGCAGGCCGAGGGGGATGGAACCCACAAGGCGAGAGCCCAGCACTGTGCCCACCCACCCAGGGACCCGCATCCCCAGATCCCTTGCTGGATGCAGCCGTGGGGTGCTGAGGGCCTTTTTCCCATGAATCATGCTGCTCTGCACTAAACCATCTGCGCTGAGTGTGCTGCCACTGGCTCTTTTTTCCAGTTCCTCCATTTCCCTCTATTGTTCACTGCAGGCTTCCTTCCTGCTGCCTGTGCTCTCCCACGCATCCCCTGTCCCCCCTCAGTGGAGGCTGCATCCCGGCTGTCCCAGGCTCTGCATTGCACCGCTGCCCACTGGTGTGACCATGGGAGGGGGTATCATGGGGAGCACAGGGGAGAAGAATGGCTGTCTGTGAGTGTTCCCATGTGAGGGTGCAAAAGGGGGGCCATGCACCAGGCTGTGGTGACAAGGACAGTACACAAGAGATGGCCGGGAAGGGCGTGGGGAGCTGGGCATGGGGACACTGTAGCTGGAAGGCTGCTTGTTGATGGGGTGGAGATTGATGCTCTGTGTGGAGTGGCTGTCCCCACTTCTGCCCAGAGGCTTTCTACTGAAATGGGACAATTTCTCCCTTTCTCGTGGCCGTATCACCCTGCGGGATCTGTGGGCAGATCTGCTTCGCTGCCCCAAGAGTTCCTCACAGGGCTGAGTGCAAGGTGCTGGGGTGGCCCTTGGGGACAGCTCGGCTGCCACCCTTACAACTGCTCCTGTCTGTGTAAACCCACACTTAATGCTGGGCGCGGGCCCTTCCCACAGAGCTCCGTCCCCAAGTCTGCCCATCCCCTGCACCCTCAGGGCTGTTCCTCACCTCTGGGCTCAGCAGGGTCGTCTCCAGCGCAGTGGTGGCATGGTGGCAAGGCCGATGTCCAGGTGTCCCCTCCGGGCAGGGGGCTCAGCCTGCAGCGACAGCAGCACCCAGCTTGTGCCTCCCACTGCCGGTCCCTCCTCCAGGCCAGCCCTCTGGTCCCCAGCCCTGTCCCCACCCTCCTGTCCTGCCTCTCTGCAGGCTCTGCCCTCCTCTGGGTGCTGCCCCTCACACTTTGTCTCCTTCGCTCCACCCCAGCGAGAGTCCTGTTCCAATGTCATGGATGGGGGTCCCTGGCTGCCGCCCCAGACCCACACATGGCATGCAGCTCTGTGCCCTGCAAGTGATCAGACACGGTGCCACATCCACCATCCACTAGCACTGGAGTGCTGGGAAGGCAGGATAACGATTGGCCAAATTGGGCTAAAAAAAAAGGCTAAAAGAAAACTGCTGAGGAATTTGGGCGGATGAACACGAGAGATGAGTGGCTGAAACTCTGGGATCCCAAAAGCCACCTCTGTCCTGCAGGGAAGCAGCATCACATCTGATGCTGTAAACAGAGGATGGGGGTGGGATGAATGCAGGGCTGGTGGGCACTGGACTCCTGCCTGACACGGACACTGCTCTTTCACCCACCTGTTTCTTTAGTGCCATTCTTTTCGCAAGAGATCTGTGTGGTTAGCCCAGCTCTGCTGTTACCCAACCTTCCCTGCATGCAGGGGATGTATGAGGGTGATCTCTCACCATCTTCAGTCCTCCTCAGCTCCTGGGGCTCAGCTCTGTGCCATGGGGGATCCCCTCATTGCATCTCTGGGCTGTCTGATCCCCAAACTTACAGCGGGGGAGATGGAGCGACACTCCAGTAACTGAGGTCCTCCTCGACCAAGCCTGTGTGTGCAGCTAGGCCTGGGAACACAGCTTCTCCTTCTGGCAAAGCAGAAGCAGAACTCTGCAACAGCCCAACACATCCCCCCCTTCCTCCCTTGTCTCAGCCAGTTACCCCAGGGCACAGGCCCATGGGCTGCCCTGTGGCAAGGCAGGGCTTCCTTTCTTCCCGTCTTCCACTGCTCAGGTTTCCCTTCGGCATCTACCAACCTGCTGATACAGTCTATATTTAGTGACTGGCCTCCTGGTTCTGACCACAACAGGAAGGTTTCGCCTGCTCCCAGGGGGTGGCAGTTGGGAGGAGCAGAAAACAGCTCTCAGGCTGGGTACTTGGTGAAGATGCTTGCAAGGGCCAGAGGAAGCAAAGATCCTCCCAGTACACTGATCTTCTCCTTCTTCTGAAGCATACAGAATGACACTGTCCCCTAAGATCTATGCATCTAATTACCTATTTGCCCATCCATTCTTCCCTTCCCTTCCCTTCCCTTCCCTTCCCTTCCCTTCCCTTCCCTTCCCTTCCCTTCCCTTCCCTTCCCTCCATCCTTCCATCCATCCATTCACCCATCTATCCCTCCTTCCCTCCCCTCCTAGCTATGTGCACTCCTTGCAGTGCCCATACAAGGTGGTGCTGAGGGATGGGTGAGGTGGTGCTGGAACATCTCCTGGGCATAGGACAGGGTGAGGAGCACTCAGGGCAAACACCATATTGCAGAGCTGGAGATGTGGGTTTGCGTCTGAGTCCAAAGGATTTACCAGAGTGAGGCAGAGAGGCTGGAGGCACTCTGGAAAGGGAACGCAGCACGAGCAGCACATAGGATAAGGGATGTCCTTGCATGGCCCATTGATCCTTCTATGGGTGTTAGGGACAGGAGCTCAGGAGGCATCACCTGCACAGCATGAGATCCTGGGCACATGGTGACACCCTCCGCTAGTGATATTTGATGGGGACACTGGAGCTGGCTGCAGCCATTTGCGGGGGTGGGACAGGGGCCCCACAGCCCCATCCATGGGGCCAGCTGACATCACTCGCCTCCGGCTAATCTTTCTTCCAGCAGCGGTTTCCCGTTTCCTTTCCAATCTGTGCTCTGGGGCGGCTGCACTGCTCGGGGCCAGGCAGGAAGAGCCATCCAGCTGTGCTCTCCTGGGGGACCCCCACTGCCCATCCCCCCAGTATCCCACTCAGGGCACTCTTGGGGTTCTGATTCCCTTACACATCCATCTTACCCCTCCCTTCCTCAGGGGATGCTGGCACGCAATCCCTTGTTGGCTGTGCTGTAAGCAAGCCTTCATTAGCAGAAAACATCATGCTGAGGGTCCAGCACCCCATGGATGACCCAGGTGTCCCCACTCCCAGTCCCATGGGCATCACAAGGCTCCCTAGGTGTTGCGATGCTGGAGGCCAGGGGTTTCATCACAGCTCAGCAGTGGATGTGGGTCCCTGTCCCCACCACCCCTGTTCTCCCCATATACCCAATGCCACTGCCACTTGGGGCAGTATCCTGGGTGAGGTGATGTCCGCTTGGGCACCAAAGAACCCTGCTGACATCATGGTGCTCAGGCAGCAGCTTCTCACCCCTTGTTAAGTCTGACTGCAGCCTGGGAAGCAAGGAGAGGCTGAGGCCATTCAGGATAGGCCCTAACCCAGTGCTCAGAATGGCAGCACCCAGAGATGCTTGTCCCATGGGGGATGTGTGTGGTGCAGTGGGATGGCAAAAGGAGGGCAGTGAACATCTCTGCCCAGAGTGGGCATCTGGCTGAGACAGGGAAGAGCCTGGCACCACCAGCAGTGATGTCTTCATTTGCACTGGCCAGCACACAGCAGGTTGGAACCACTCCGAGGCAGGAATCCAGCAGCAAACGGGTGGGTGGAAAATCCAGCATGTGTCAGCTTGTTCCCCCCACACTGTCTGTCCAGACAAACTCCCTGCTGTCCGGCGGAAGCCGACCTGTGCCCACACACGCTCACCCACATGCATGCAGATGTGCAGAGCCCAGCATTGCCCTCGCCAGATGTGCGGAGCTCAGCATCCCCGTCCCCATCCCCCCATCCCCTGAACCCAGGGTGCAGCACCCAGCGCAGCCTGGGAGTGCCCCACTCCAGCCTGAAGCTCCCCGGCTGTGCACACACCAACCCCTTTATTGTGCCAGAAACTACTGCAGCAGCAAACATTAGAGGCAGCCTGCGGAGGTGAACCCATCACCCAGGAGAGGACCTGGGGGGCTCCCAGAGGTGGGGATCACACAAAACCTGGGGGGACTCCGAGAGTGAGACATGTGACAGAGAAGGACAGTTCTGGTCCCGTACTGCTGCAAAACCTGGGCTGGTCCCATACAAACCCTCCATTCTGGACCTCCAAGGAGCACACCCAGAAAGTCTTACAGCAGCAGAGGTATCTCCTGGTGGTGGCAAAGCTTCATTCAGTTCCACAAGGCCTCCTCCCCCCAATCTTTCACCTCCCCTTGGAGCACCCACTCCTGCAGCCTACACTGCCACCTGCATGGAAACATCTCTATGGGCCACCACCCCCTCAGTGCATGGGCACTGGGCTCCCCCAGGACAGTCCCCCACTGGAAGGTGTCTATGATGAAGAACGTGGGGGGCACAGGCTGCCAAATCCCCACCGTGGCCCCTTCTCTGGTGGCCCACCAGGACAGGCATCAGGCCTCATGGTCGCTGGCGCTGAGGTGCTCCTCGGACAGCCCTGTCTCATCGATGTGCTCCAGAGAGTCAGCATGCTGCAGGGAGAGCTCAGCCAGGCTGAGGCTGGGCAGTGTATTCTGCTCTGGATACACCCAGGGCTTGTACCCGGGGTCGTGCCTGCGCTTCCACTCCGGGTACTTCAGCCCTGCCTTGTAGATCTTCTTCATCGCCTGTGGGAAGAGCAGGTGTGATCCACCACAGTCACCCCAAGACTCCAACTCCAGCATCTTCTGCTTCTCCAAGGTGCTGTTTTGGGTCCCCATGGCCCCACTACCATTCACCCTGCTTACCTTTGGTGCCACAAACTGGGAGACTCGGTTCACCACCCACTTTGGCAGCGATCCTGCAAGAGCCAGAGCCCCATCACTGAGTTGAAGAGATGCCATGACCCCTCAAAATCCCTGCCAGGTGCACTGGTCAATGCCCAGCATCCAGTGCTGGACTGAGAACCCCAGATCCCTCCATCAGGGAAACTGCCCTGTTTTATGCCTTGGGAAGGTCTCCTCTTCTTCCCATAGTTGCACTTCCTCCCCTTTGGGACACAGCATGGTGGAGACCCAGGGTGGGCCAGCTGGATCCATGGTGAGACCGCATGAACATCATGGAGTTCAGCAGGGCCAAATAGAAAGTCCTACACTGTTGGGTCAGGGCAATCCCAAACATGAATACAAACTGGGGGATGAATGGATGGAGAGCAGCCCTGAGGAGAAGGAGCTGGGGATACAGGCAAGTGAAAAACTGCAAATTCTAAGGTCAATTTTATCATGGGCTGCTTCAAGTAGGGGTTGTCCTCTATTCTGTCCTTGTGAGGCTCCATCTGGAATACTGCATCCAGGTCCAGGGTCCCCATCACAAGACATGGAGCTGTGGAAACCATAGAATCCCAGAATGGCTTGGATTGGAAGGGATCTTAAAGCCCGTTACCTCCTGCTGTGACCTGGGTCCTCCCCCAGCAGATCAGGCTGCCCAGGGCTCCATCCAGCCTGGCCTTGAGCACCTTCAGGGCTGAGGCACCCACAGCTCTCAGGGCAGCCTGGAGTGGGTCCAGAGGAAGGCTACAAAGATTTTCAGAGTCTGGAGCATCCCTTCTACAAGGAAAGGCTGAATGAGCTGGGCTTGCTCAGTTTGGAGAAGGCTCCAAGGAGAAGTCATAGCAGCCTTTCAGTGCCTAAAAGGGCTTATCAAAAAGATTTGGGGAGACATTTTATAAGTGTCTGTAGTGATAACACTATGGGTAATGGTTTTAAACTGAAATACAGTATTTATGCAGTATATGTTAGATAGAAATGAATTCTTTACATGAAGGGTGCTCTGTCACTGAGGCTACCCAGAGAAGTTGTGGATGTGCCATCCATGGAAGTGTTCAAGGCCAGGCTGGATGGGGCATTGGACAACCTTGAGAGTCAGGGATTAGAGCTGGATTGCCTTTAAGGTCCCTTCCAACCCAAACTATACCATGATGCTCTGATTTCAAGCTCTGAAGACCCTTACCACAGGAACATGCTGCAACACTCCCCCTCAGCTCTCACCTCTGGGGTCCACCTGGGTGAGATAATAGAGGACGCAGGCGCTGGCACCGTTGGCCTTGATCAGATAACCAGTCTGCAGGGACACAGCTCTGACAAAATCCTTCCGGGGTGGGTATTTCTGCAAAAAAAGAAAAAAAAAAGCCCTACAGCTCAGAACCTGCCCCAATCTCTGCCCACAGCCACCCCCAAAGTAGCAGAAACCCACCGGATGCTTGACGCTGTAGTTGAGGATGATGTAGTCATTGCCCAGGGGCAGCCAGGAGCGCAGGGTGACAAAATCACGGTTCTTCAGGGGGCTGGGGCACTTCCCTGCAGAGACACCTGGTTACAGCCCGGTGTGGGGCCGCAGCTGGGGCATCCCAGGTGCGCAGGGGCTGGGGGCTGCTCACAGGAGTAGTATCCCACGTCGGCGTTAACCGTCAGGCGCCCGATGTCGTGGGTCTCAATCATGTGCGAGTCCCACTTCTTGCGGTAGTGGGTGTCATGCAGCACATCGTAGAGCGTCTCAGCAGAGACATCCTTACAGGAGATGCGGGTCTGCTGGGAGACGGGAGGTTGGGTCCCCAATGGGTCCCCATTGGATTCCCATTGGATCCCCATTCGATCCCCCAAGGGTCCCCAGGGCGGTGCCCACCCCAGGGATTGAGGCTTTAGCTCGTTTCTTTTGGCTGGTCCTGTTGTAACAGGAGCCACCCGCTCCGGCGTGCATTATTGATGACCCCAACCCTGCTCCTCCTGACGCCGGGAGGAAAGAGATGTCATCTGCTCCTCGTTAGAGGCCTTGCATCTTTGATGAGGTGCGTGGCAGCTCCATGTAATGGGAGCCGGCCCTTTGAACGCTGGTGGCAGGTCCCATCAATCTCAGGCGAGCTCTCTCTGCTGGCCCAAGTGATGCTGTCTGCCCAGCAAGGCTGCGGACGTGATGTGCCCAAGGTGTGGGAGCCCATCCTCACTCAGGTGTCCTGCTGCAGGAGGAGTCCACACGTCCTCCTGGAAGCACCTGTTGTCACAGCAGGGTCATTGCACCCACAAAAGCCACTCCTAAAGAGTATTGCTCATTCTCCTCCAGCCCAAATGTGGCCAAATGGAGGGCATACAACAGCTTCAACAGGCAGTCAGCTGCCCAGAGCAGGGATTAAAGGAGTTTCTTGGTGCTCCAGATGCTCAGGAACCCTCCAAGCTGTGCCTTTGTTGATGGGAAGACCAGGGTTTTTCTGGCCCCACAAGCTCGCGCCTGGCTTGGCTTCATTGCAGCTCTTGGGAAAGATCCCTGGGCAATGCTGATCAGAGACCAGCTCTGACCAGCTCAGGCCCTTTATGGAGCAGGGAAAAACCACACCAAGGTGATATTGGCAGTGACCCAGGCTAGGCAAGGATGTGACACTCAGAAGCCCCTGAGCCATCTGGGAGCTCCTCCCCTGTGGGGTCAGTGATGGAAAATTCTGTATCCTGTCCACTGGGCTAAGCTTGTTTGAACAGGGCTGGACTTCTTCAGGTTCCTACTGGAGTCTGATCTGGGCACAGTCCCTGCTGCTGTTCCCATTGCCCTTCATGCTTTGGGTGTCTGGACAAGGCTTCATGGGGATGGAAGTTGCTCAGAACCTTCAGTGCCCCGGGGCCTTGTTCCTGCATATCTGAACGTTGGATGTGAATTTTGCTTCTTCCCAGGTATGAGGGATCTCCTGCAATCACTATGAATTCTCACAGAGACATCAGCCAGACCCCTTAGCACCCTTGGGTGCATCCTACCTGGTCCTGTGGGTCTGTACATCCAGCCCCAAGCTGGCTGGGCTGCTTGCTGGCCCTGGCTCAATATCCATGCCACACCAAAGCTATGTGTGTCACAGTTCTGCGGAGAGCTGCACCTCTGCTGCTCCTCCTCCTCCTCCACTCCCTGGCCAGATAGGCCTCCAGCCCCAGCAGCACTGCAACAGCACATGCCTGGAGCTCCAGGAAGCTTTATTCTGCCCACCTGGTGTCTCACTGGGCTGCTGCCACTCTGCGAATGGGAGAGCAGAGAAAAAGTCTTCCCTGTACCCTCTACTCCAGGGACCTACTCAAGACCTCCTTGTGCCTCCCCAGCTCTTCAGGTCACAGTAATCATTCCCCAGTGCTCCCAGTTGGAAGCCTTCCTTACCGGGTTGGCCAGCCTTGTGATCAGATGCTCCAGCCCCACTTGCTCTGGCAGATCCCATCCCTGCCTGATCTTTGGTGAGGATTCCATAGCCACAAAAGCCATGACAGCAACCCCACAGCCAAGCACTGCCCTGCATGATGCTCATGCTGAAATAACCTCTTCTTCTTCAGTGGGGTCTATGGGGGTCCCTTATCCTGCAGCTGCTCTTGGTATGCTCAGGTTCACCCAGAACCCAGAACATTGGCACTGTGTGGGTGAGGAATGAGGTATTACAGCCCAAGGGATGGGTGAACATCACTAGTCCCTCTGCAGCATCCCTTAGCATGCAGCAAAGCCCCTGGTATGATAGGTGGAGCATCTGAGACCCCAGGGATGTTAGGCAGTATGGGATGTTAGGCAGTGGTACCCAAGGATGGTGTGTCTGGGGGAAATGCACCAGCCCACCCCATGCCCCGGGACTCTCAACCAGGCTATCTCCACAGGATTATTCCCACCTGTGTGCAGAGCAAAGCCAGTGGCAAGGCAAGCACACACAGGTGCTCTGGGTGTGTTTCCATGCTGCGGCAGCACCCTGCTGGCAATGCTGAGACATGAGGCAGGCAGAGAAGCTGCCGAGCACCTTGCCAGCATGCAGGAGCGCATCTGGGGCCGAACCCCACCGAGCCCTGCTGCTTGGGAGCTAGAGCAGGGGAGGGCTCACCTTGATTTTCTGCACGGTGCAGCTCTCCTCCTGGCCCTGGCTCCAGACGGTGACGCCAGCCTTGTTGTAGCGGCAGTGCCAGCCCTCCGCGCTCTCGCACTGCTCCCTGAACGAGCTGAAGTCGGAGTCGTCTGGGATATAAACCATCTCCCCGCCCCTGGACATGGGGGCTGAGCTGATGGAGGCTCCTTCTGCCTCCCCACCCGGCAACCAGCTCGTACCCAGCTCACGCGGCCGTCCTCATCCTCACGTCCCCGAGGACGCAGAGAGAGCCCTGAGGCCGCAGAACGCAGCGAGGAGGAAAGCTCCTTCCCTGCGGATGTTACGGCAGCTGCTGGCAGCTCGGATGTCTTCCCGGGCTCGCCAGGATCACGTTTCTCTCCGGCTGCCCGTCTGCTCCTCTATTATTCAGCAGGTAGCAGCTCGCTGGGGGCTCGGTTTTCAGGGCAGAGCTGCCCCCGGCTGCCCGAGTCCCAGTGTCCCCGTCCCCGCTGTCCCCTAGCAATCTCTGTGCCTGACTTTGCTGCAGCAGCTTGATTGCAGGGAGTGATGCAGCACCCAGCCGTGCCCTTCCTGGTGCACAGCAGGAGAGACATCCTTGTCCTTCACGCTGCTGTCCCAGGACACAGCTCACTGTTATTTATTGTCACGTTGTCCTGGTGCTTTTTGCAGGGATGCAGCTCAGTGCTCTGGCCTGGGTCAACTGTCCCACAGCAGTGGTTGTCCATGAGGTCCCTGTTGGTCTGATTTGAGCTTCTCAGGCTCTGCCTTTCCCTGCACATCAGTTCCTCCCAGTTCAGCCTCACTGCATGGCAAGGGGTGCTGTGGATCCCTGCCACACCCAGGGATGGGCACATTGAGCATGGATCCAGCCTTCACCCTGGGGTGCCCAGCCTGAGCCCAACTGGACAACAAGGCACTGATCACTATCATATGGTAAAAAAGCCATGGAAGGAACCCAGCCCCACCTACAGGTTCCCCAATTGCTTGGGTGAACAAACCTCTGGGCACTGAAGTCAGCAAGACTACTCCCAGATCTGTGAGCCCCGACCACGAGGAGGTTGGTGCATCCCAAAACATCGTTGAGGATCCTCCAGCTCAATCCCTTCCCCTTAGCACTGTGAGCCCCTTTTCCTTGGCAGGATGACACCAAGTTGAGTTGACATGCTGGAGGGAGAGTCTGTCATCCAGAGAGATCTGCACGGGTGGGTCCATGTGAAGCTCATTCAGTTCAGCAAGGCCAAGTTGAAGGTCCTGCACCTGGGTCAGAGAATCTCAAACATGAATACAGGCTGGGGGATTAGCAGTCCTATGGAGATACTGGTGGGTGCAAAACTGGGTGTGAGCCAGTAGTGTGCACTTGTAACCCAGAAAGCTGATCATAACTTGGGCTGCATCAAAAGTCATGTGACCAGGGGGTGAGGGAGGAGGTTGTCTCCTCTTGTAAGACCACAACCTCCATACAGCTTTCAGCTCTGTGGACCACAGCACAAGGACCTGCTGGAGTGAGTCCAGAGGATGTCAAGAGGGAATGTGGTAGGACAAGTGAAAGTGGTTTGAAACTAAGAGAGAAGAGATTTAGGTTAGAGATTTAGGTTAGGTTAGGAGGAAAGTCTTTGCTGAGAAATTGGTGAGAGCCTGGCAGTGCTGACCAGAGAGCTGTGGGTGCCCCATCTCTGCAGGTACCCAAGGCCATGGATGGAGTCCTGGGCAGCCTGAGCTGGTGGGGGGTACCCAGCCCATGGCAGGGGGTTGGAACTGAATGGGCTTTGAGATCACTTCCAATTCAACCAGTCTGTGATTCTATATGAGTCTGTGAGTTGATGAGTCTGTGATTCTCTACTATTGGGAATGCATCAATCTGGACAAAAGTGCGGTCACCCAAGATCTCTCCAGTCATGGTTGTGTGCCCCCTGCCAGCCACCAGCTGAGCTGGGATGCTCCCCATGATGTGCCCACCCGCCTTCACCCGTCGGTCCCATCCACCTCTGTCCCTGGCAGAAGCTGAGCCCGAGAAGGGCGGACTTGTTTTGCACGGGTCCCAGTTGTTGGCTGGGCGCCGGGCGCGTCCCCATGGCCGGGTGGCTTCCAGCGTGTCCCAACGCCTGTGGTGACGGATTCCTCGTTTCGTGCAATCTGCTGTTCGCCCACTGGGTGTCACGCGTGCTCCATTGGCGACAGCGAAAGGGAGCGGCCGGGGCCGGACCCAGAGCAGGGAGGTGGGGATAGGCTGCTCGGTGCCGAGGGCTTGGAGCCTCCCCGATTCCATGGGTGGGATGAAGGCCCGGAGAACCGCTTCCTCCCCCTCCTCGTCCTTTTCTTCTGCCCTGCGCTGCCGCCGCACCCTCCCAGTCCTTGTCAGGGTCTGGAGCCGCCATGGTGACCCCCCTCGCCCTCCCAGGGTTTGGGGACAGGGCAGAAGCAGTGGTCGGGCCCTCCTGTCCACCTTAACGCAGCGCTTTTGCTGCCACCTTGGGGACTTTTAGTGGCAGGGGAAGGTGCAGAGGGGGCACACTGCCCTCAATCCCCTCCTTCCCCGTCCTCCCCCCCCCACATAAGGTATGTGCCTTGCACGGTAGGGTCCCTGCCCTGACCTCAGAGTCTGGCAAAGTGAGCAGCAGAGGGACAGGGGACAGTGGTGGGATGGGGAACGCTGGTGGGGGGTCATTGTGCAGCACAGCAGGGCTCATCCTGCTGCTGGGGTCCCCCTGCCCTCTTCCCCTTGTGGCACTTGGTCCCCTCTGCCCTGTGTCCCCGGAACCCATGGCAATGGCACAAGCGTGGGGACCCAGCAGAAAAGGCTCACAGGATCCCCTGGGTGACGTGGCACTAAATTAACCTCTGCATACCTCTGTGTACCCCTTGGGGCCCTGCCACTCAGACAGTGCCCTGCTCTGGGATGCTCACAATGTGTGTGGCTGTGCAGATGACCCACTCCAGGAGCCTCCATCCCTGGCTATTCCTCCATGTCCACAGATGCCCAAATCCCTGCTCTGTTCCACTGCTGTTTTCCCATCCCTGTGGATGCCATGCCAAGGCATGTTTGCACCGCGCCCCACTTGGGTGTCAGGATGATTTACAAGGCACGTGAAAAATGTCGTTATTTTTCCTCCTTTCAGCTGCAAGTCAACGCTGGGGGAAGGATGCTTAATTATCTCTGTCACCCTCCTAAATCTCTTTATGAGCGGGTTTGGCTACAAATCTCTGTGTGGTTTTGAAGTTACCAGCCAGCATGGCACCCAATACACCAGGAGCAGGCAGGATGCGGGGACATGGGACAACACATCCACCCTAAGGGGTGCTCCCTTTCTGCGTTACCCACCAGATTCTGTCCCCATCCCCATCTCCCATGGCCACCTCTCACCCCCACACCCTCAGCCTTGCGCTGCCACGCAGAGCCTGGAGATACGCCGGCGCAAAGTGCTACCTTCCCGATAATGCCATTTATTGGACTAGGTGACACGCAGGCTTTGGGGGATAGCAGAGAATCCTCTCGGCTGAGCCGCAGAAAGGATTTCCACAGCCCTCCCGGCGCTTGTCAGTGTGTCCCTGAGGAGTTATTACCTCGGGCTGCTGGGAGCTGGATGCGTCCCTGCCCCCTGGTTGCTGCTTTGCAAAGATTACGCCGCCTTTGAATAAGCTCCGCGCAGCGCTGCTGCCGACGCGTCAGACAGGGGCTAATCAGAAAATGAGCAGGGGAAGGGAAACTTGGTGGCAGGAACTTATCTGCGTTCTGCTGCTCATGCATCCAGCCCTGTCTGTCTGCAAAGGGAAGGCAAATTTCCCAGAGATTTCACACAGTTGCAAATGTGTGGCACAGGGAGGGTGCACACAGATGTGGATGCAAGCATGTGTGCACAAACAAGCATGCACAGACTTGTGCACACCTGTGGTTGGTGCACACACTGCTGCGTATGGTTGCACATGGATGCTTGCACAGGCATGCCTACATGCACACACGTACACACCTGCAAATGTGTGCATATATATGCACGTGTGCATAGGCATCTCTGTGTGTGCATGCACATACATGTGCATGGCTGTGCATGTGTTCCTACCCATATGTATGTAATGCACATATATATACCTGCATGTGTGGCCATGTGTAAGCACAGTGGGTCCTCTCCTGATGCTGGGGGTGCAGCAAGATGGCGACAGACCCTGAGCTGAGCCATAGAATCATCATAAAATCATAGAATGGCCTGGGTTGAAAGGGACCACAATGATCATCTAGTTTCAACCTTCTGCTATGTGCAGGGTCACCAACCACCAGACCAGAGCCACATCCAGCCTGGCCTTGAATACCTCCAGGGATGGGGCATCCACAGCCTCAGGGGCAGCATTGTGCCCCACTCACCACTGCTGTGACATTCATCCACATACCACAGTGTCACCACAGGTAGTCCCAACAGCATCGCAGGGCACTCTCAGGTGCCCCCTCTCTCCCATCCTGGGGGCAGGAGTGGGACCTGGAGCGCAGAGGTGATTAAAATGCACCGCTTGCTTTATTTAAACACAGCCGTCAGGGAGAGTTACAGGGCACTGAGCTAGAAAATAGCATTTACACAGCCCGCCCCTCGCACCGCAGCCCTGACCTTTGCGAGCTTCATGCATACCACAGCACCGTCACCTTGGTGGCACTGAGGGCAGCAGACAGGAGCTGTGCTGAGAGCCCTGGGACAGAGATGCTGCTTTTGGGGCAGGGCCCAACCACAGCATTACTGCCTGATTCTCTCTCCTGATCCCTCTGGGATGCTGTCGGCTCGAGGCTTGTGCGGCACGTGGCAGATGCATGGATACAAGCAGGTGCCGAGCATCCGCGCCTTGGAAAAACAAAGGCATTTGGTAGCAGGAGGGGTAGGGGGGAATGTTCTCCCGAATGGATTGGAACGATGCTGTGATTGGGAACAGATGCTGGAGATGGGGGGAAGGCGGGGGGGGCAGCTGTGTGGCTGCGGCACAGGGCCAGCTCCAGCCAGCTGCACATGGGTAAATGGAGTGCTGGGGTTCTCCTTGGGTCTGTGGGGCCTGAGCCCATACCGGCTCCATCCCCTCTGCTCTGGTACTCTGAGTTCATTCCAGGGGCATAAGATGTGCATGGGGCTGAGCTCAGCTGTGATGCAAGCAGGGACCTGGACAGCACCCACCACCACTCAATGAGCCCCAAATCCCAGTGTGCAGCACCCTGGGGACACAGGGACAGCTCTCTGTTGCCTTTTACCATCTGGGCCCCAAAGCAGCATTTATGGCCCTTTTTAACCCTTTGTGGTGCCCCAGTGCCCGCATTGCGTGATGGCTGAGTCCCGGTACCTGTGGGGATCT